TGGCCTGAACGACGCACCGAGAAGATGGTGGAATCGTTTGGACAAATTTCTCCGGTCTGTGGGCATGGAACCGACCAGAGCTGACCGATGCACTTATGTCGCATACGACTGCATCGAAGGCAAGAAGGGGAAAAGCCACCTTGCGGCAGGAAGCTTCTCTCAGGAGGAGGAACCTGAAGCAGGAAACACCTCTTTGGAGGTGGAACCTGCCTACCTCAGGAGGTTGCCCTTCATGCCATGACATGCTACGCGTACGACCGTTCTTCCTCCGACCGTGCGGAGGAGAGATCCTATCTTTCATGTCCCGATATTGCTCAGTGCTTTAACACCGATACCAAGAAGATGGTTGACTATGCTTGGAGACCTGTGACTGATGATAAGCTTCTTGGGTTCTTGGGCAGTGTTGCTTGTAAGAAAGGCATGCTCTCGTTTCTCATAGGGCCAAGGCTCTTCGTACTCCTGCACCTGTCTATCAGGTCAAGGACTACCCTTATCGAGTTTCCAAGATCCGTCGTAAAGGGACATGGTGGATCGTCGAAAGGGCCCATGACCTGAGGTTGGACAAGGGTGACAAGACCTGCTTCCTTGAAGAAGAAGCTGAGGTTCTCGTCTCCTGGTTCCTTCCTGAGAAGGCTTCATGCAAGGTCGAGAGTTTATCTGAACTCTCTCCCGAGTTGGTTGATCAGCTTCTTAACACTTTGTTGACCGTGTGCATGGAAGTCCCAGCAAAGGCCGTAAGACAGTTGGAGTGATGAGTCTTCATGTTGATGATCTCATCATAAGTAGAACCTCTGAGTTCCTCACTTGGTTCCTTAAGAAAATTAAGGAACACTTCGCTGTCGGTCATGAGGACAAGAACGACCTTACGTTCACTGGACAGCGTGTTCGTTGGGTCTTTGATGCACAAGGCAAGAAGAAGTATATATCGATCGATCAAAAGCTGTGCGTTTCTGAGCTTGAGGAGATCGTCATACCTAAGCATCTTAAGGATGCCGATGCGTTTGACAAAGCTCTCCACACCTCTTATCGCTCTTTGCTTGGTAGCATCAACTGGCTTCAGTCGAGGACGCAATTTCAGGCATGCTATCAGTTCTCTCGCTTGGCTTCAGCATCTGCTGCTCCGACCGTCGGTCATTGCAAGGAGTTGAACAAGTTGTGTCGACAGATACGCAGTGAGGAGGTTGAGTTGCGGGTGTGGCCAGTGAAGGGATCACCAAGGATTCTTGGAATTCCTGACGCAGCTTTTCGTAATAACAGCGACAAGTCCTCACAGAGGGCGATGACTATTTTCATCGCAGATGAAAGGGTCAAGAATCGAAGGGACACCCGAGGCTCCTTGGTCTTCCTCGAATCAACCAAAATCAAGAGAACGACCCTTAGTACCACTGTCGCTGAGCTTTATGCTTTGATGAAGTGTTTTGGTACCTGTCAGATGCTTCGTGGTTTGTGGAAGGATATTAGTGGTCTTGACGCTGAGATACACATGCGCACCGACGCTAACAATCTCGTGTCTACTGCTTCTACTACTCACTCACCCGAGCAACGGATTCACATGATTCAAATGCTGAGGAAGGAAGCTTTTTCAGGGGCGATTGCTAATCTTTCTCACGTTCGAACCGAACATTGTCTTTCTGATTGCCTCACGAAGCGAAGCGCTAATCCTAGAAACCTCCTGAACTCTGTTCAAACTGGGTGGTTGAAGGAAATCGATTCACATCCTCCTTTTCGTTCCATTTGCGCAAAGCCTTCTTGAACGCCTGGCTCCGTAAGGAGTACGCGGTTTTGAGTGCAGTGCAACATGTCATGTTCATGCAGGAGCGTTTGTGAGTCATGTCTGCTTCATGTGTGAGCTGTCAGAGCAATTCAGTGCATGTGCTTCATGAAGAGTTTTTGGTCTCTTTTTGAATTTGTGCCTGCATTGCTCAAATCAGCTGGTTCAAACTTAAGTGAGAAAGTAGCCCACAACTTCCACTTTTGTTACCAGCATGGCTGCGGCAGGACCCTCTATGGATGCTGGACGCTCGATTTTCGTTTTTGAAACGATTTGGTTTGCTAGCCCTCAAAGCCCGGAAGGCAAGTTTTTGATTTTCAACACATGCCTTTTTCCTTTTCGCATGCTTGGACGTGGCTGTGTTGAATTTCGCTTTCCGTTTGCCTTTTTTGGTTCAAGTTCCGTTTCCTGGTCAAATTTTCATTCTCGTGAGCCTTGAGATTCGACGTGAGTGCGTTCCCAGGGGGGCGCCACTCCGTCACATGTGACGTGTAGAGGCTCATTAAAGGCTTTGCTGCTTGGAGTTCCGTAGCTGGGGCGGGGCTCTTCATGGACGACGACGGCGCGTCTTCTGTGCCCTTGCTTTCTGATGCGGTAGACTCTGATGCCACGCGGTGTCAAAGCCTTCGTCCACAGGAGAACTGGGAGAGTGAACTGCACACCCGTGCAACTTCGGCAAGGTTTTCTGTGCCACCCATTTCAGGGTATATCTCAGATATCTTCCCGGATTCTTCTGACGATGATGTTCCAGGATTCTCTTTATGTGATACAGCAGGGCCCGTGGCTAGCGGCTCCGCTCTGACTGCTCGCACTCATATTTCCTCTGACAGTGATACCGACGATAATCGCCTGGCCGACTTGTATCCTGGACGTGTTGGTTTGTCAGGTGATTCTGTGCGGTGGGCCCGCAAGCGGGCTCGCTTGCGGGCACTCGAACAGGGCACTTTGTCTTCTTTCGATCTAGAGGACGTGATCATTGAACCATCGACTTGCTCGACTCGTATGGCAGAAGCTGCTGGCAGGGCCTTCGCAGCTGAAGCACGGGTGGTTTTGGTACGCCGCCTTTTGAGGGCTGGACCGGGGTTCGCACGCCGGTGTGCGATCAAGTGGGCTCTGGGTGGCCGTCGCAGTGATGGTTAATTGGCCTCCGAGGCAGTCAAAACATCCTGTTTGCTGACTTTTGCATGCGCAGTCACAAGATTATTGCCTGCTTCATGAGTGCAGTGCAGTGCGTTTCCCCTCTCTTGGGCACTTGAGACGGGTGAACCTCACATGTCTTGCTTCGGAGTACATGAGCTGGCTCGCACCTTTCTTTTCATGTTTGTCGGCTTAGAGTGCGGGCTGTGGGCGCGGGTCGGGATTGGTGGCGGGCCACGCTGGCGCCGTTACCTCAGTTTTGGGCTTTCACGCCTGTGGTGCGTAATGGCTCTCGGCCTTGTTAGCCCCCATCCCTTTTCTTTCCTTTGACCCTCCCGCTGATCAGGTCGCGGTGGCGCTCGCTCGTGCTCTGGCCAGCTCCTTGTTTTGAGTCCCGGTGGCCTTCCCCGGCGATCTCACGTGCCTTTCTCAGGTCTTGGCTTTGACTGAAGAGCCCTGCCGCGCCCCCAGTTGGAAGCACTGGAGCCGTTCTTTCGGTTCCCGTTGTGCTTTCAAGTCTTCGTGACGGACCAAGTTGGAGGGTTCGCTCCTCGTCTTGAATCCTGCTGGCTTCGCCCGGGGATCTCACGTGATTTTTCAGGTCGGTGCTCGTTTGCTGCAGGATCTAGCGCCGTCCTCAGATTGAAGCACTGGAACCGTAGCATTCTCGGTTCCCGTTGTGTTTCTGGTGGCTTTAGGTCGCCCGGTGGTTCACCGCGGTGACCCCTGGTCTTGACCTTATTGCTGCGTTTGGCTAACTTTCTTTCCACAGCCAGACCACGTGCTTCTCATTTTTACCCTCGTCGTCAGGTTGTGGCACTCCCAGTCCACGCTTGGCTGGGACTGCGATTCAGCACTAGGCCGCTGCGCTCTGCGTTGGCAGTGCCTGCATGCCCCTGCGAACCTCCCCCTCTTTTCCACTGTTGTCAGGTCGGTTCGCTATGTCGCGGCGGAGCTCCTCACCATTCTGCTTCAGGTTCAATCGGAGGCGTCCGAACAGTGCTCTTGAGGAGGATCCGATTGTAGATGCAAGCCCGCCTTCATCGGGACACACTATGGTTCAGCCGGCCTGGGCCACCACTTCGGATCTTGCGGCCCTCGCTCAGGACCTTTGCTTGTGTTTGTCACAGGCTGCAAACCTTGAAGGCAGGCTTCTTAACGTGGAACATCTGGTGTGGCCTCCGTCATCTGACACATCTCTGACGTCGGATGCTGCGGATCGGTTTCTGGCTATCGAACAGACTTTGGCCGCTCTTTCTGAGGGTTTGGATTCTGTGTCGCTTCATGTCAGCCAGACAGCCCTGCAGACTGACGCATTGTCCTGGAGGTTGGACCGCTTGGAGACTCGTGTCAGGTTGCTCTGGGAAAACGTTGATGACCTGCGGTCTGCTCTTGGTCTTCTGGTTCCAACGATCACTGGCGATCCTCAGGTGGCGGATCAGGCACTCGCAGCTGCTCTTCCCGCTCGGGTGGCACGGACTTGGCATCTGGGCCCACTGGCTCGCCTCGAGTCCTTGGTGTCACAGCTGCCTGTGAACTTGAGTACCGACATTCCTAGCCTTCACTCTGATTGAGAGGTTGTTTTTACCGGGCATCAAGGCGACGTTGCATTGAACCTTGGAAAATCGGCGAACCGCTGGTTCTCCTTGGATCATTTGTCTTTGCTAGCTGTGTCCGCCTGCCGATCTGCCTCTTGCTTGTTACCTGTTCGCTAGGCTCAGGTTTGGGGCGGGGTTGCGTAGCTCAGGGTCTTTCTTAAGATCATGTCCAGCCGCTGGCTGCCGGATGGAACGCCTCGCAAGCCGTCGCTTCCTGCACCTGCTCCGGCTTCGAACCCGGCTCTGGCTCCATTGCTGATCCCTAGGTGCCGTCGCGCGCCGTTGGCCTCGGAGCCACCGGCTTCTTTACCGTCAATGGCGCCGAGGTTTCGTCCCCCAAGCATACTCGGAGGGTGGCTTTGCTCCCCTCCGCCGTGCAAGTGTGCCGCCGAATCTCACAGCTTTTCCTCCTGCCCCGGCTCATCCCTACAAGCCGGCTGCACCGGGTACGATGTTGTCTGGCGCTGGCAGCCACGGCCGCTGCGGCTTCTGCAATGGTGGCGGAGCTCTTGCAGAGCCCAAACTCTTCGGTGCTTCTGGTGCGCCTGGTTCAGGCGAACGCCCCTTTGACTCTCACCAACTATTTCGGTCGTTGGAAACATTGGGTCGAGTTCTGTCAGGTCCAATCTGCGGATGAATGGGCGCCCAAGGTGGCCTTCCTCTGCGATTTCTTGATCACACACTGCAAAGGACTTCTGGGGTCGGCTATCGCGTGGCTCAAGGCCTTCAGGTTCATCTCCACGCGGCTGGAGGTCGAGTCTTTCAAGGTGGCGCTACAGTCCGAGGCAGTGCGGGCCTTTGGCAAGTGGGTGAATGTGGTTCAGCGCAGGGAAACGGCCCCATCCCGCTCATTTGGTTGGAAAGGCAAGTGCTGGATGCGGCCCAGTCAGCTGCACATCGGATTCGGTGTGGCTTCATTCTGGTTTGCATGTTTGCCAGCCTTCGTTGGTCAGATGCTCAGTGGTCTCTTCTGGGATGCGCTACAAGGACGAAAACCACCTCTCGCTCCATGCCGTGGGGAGCGTGGTCTCCCGGGTTTCTCGCTAGGCCTCAATCGGTCCCCGGGTGGGGCCAGGTCTGGCTGTGTCTGGTCCAGGAGGAGGTGACCCGCACTTCGGCGGCTCGTCCAGGGTTTCAACCTGACTTTCTGGTGGCCGACTTGGGACCGGATGAACGTGCTCCTGTTTTCTTGGCTCCTTTGAGCCGTGCTGCTGGGGTGGTCCTGATCCGCAGACTTTTGGCGATGTGCTATGAGACCGGCGGACCAACGGCCGGACTTGTCCCTCATTGGCGTGCACAGTGTCAAGGTCACCTTCTTATCCATGGCCAAGCAGCTCGAGCAAGGACACCACCGCCCGCCGCCGGGTCGCCATGACCCGGTTATACGGCAGAGATGATGTTTCCGGTCCCCTCTCGCTTCAGTGTTCTATTGTCCAGGCAGTTGCGAATGGATTCCGGCCGCTGCGGCCGGCCCTCAGGGGCGGTGCTCCGCCACTCCCCGACGTCACATTCTCTCTGCCCGCTTTGGAGCCGGTGGCCTCGGATACTCGTTCCTCTTCGGTTGTACCCAGGCTCCACGACAGAGAGCCGTTGGTTCTCGATCAAGATTCGAGCTCTGATTCCGAAGATGATGCTCCTGCGGCTCCCGAGGTCGAGTCCACATCCGCGGCTCCGGCCGCAGCTTGGGAACTGGTGTCATCCGGTGACGTGGTTTCTTCGCCGCAGGATCTTGGTGAGCCAGAAGAGTTTGAATTCTTGTTTAATCCAATGACGTCAATTGTGCATCTTGCCAAGCCTTGCAGGGCAGATCATCCCGCTTGTCAGTTCCGCCCCGCTCCGGACGCAGTCGGGGATGTTCCTCTTCGACCGGGTTGCTCCATACGAGGCAATCTGGCAATCGGAGCGTTAGTTCGGACATCTGAGATCCCGAAGGGTGCACGTTTGTGCTTGAAGCACGGGTGTGGGAAGGACCCCGCACTTGCATCCTTGTTGGACTCTTAGTCTCCTTTCGGGCGTGGTTTCCAGGCGTCGCCGCCTGCCTGGGGTTGCACGCTTGCACCCTGGGCCTCGCGCACGGTCGGAGCCGCTCTTGCCCGTGACTTGCCGGAATCGCTTTCCGGTGCAGTTTGGATTGCCGGTGGCAGTGCGATTGGCATTGCGCGGCTCTACGCAGTGAGCCAGACGAGCCTGGCCCAACCGGCCGTTTGCCTCCCACTCACCCTCAGGTTGCAAAAGCTGGGATTGCCGCTTTGTGTCTAATGTTTGGCTGTACTTCTTTGGCATTTTGCGGTTGCTAGCGTTTGGCTGCTAGGGACTTGAGACAAGCCATGGCAGGATCCTCCGTCATGCTCGATGATCCGGCAGCTTTCGCGGGCCTTCTTGCTCGTTGGGCGGTTCCTGATGTGGTCAAGGATAAACTCCATGACGCAGGCTACAACACCATGGCACTCCTGGCCCATGCTCTCCCTTCCTTGGATGACCTGGAGGCGTTCGTTGAAGCGTTGCTGGGCAGAGCAGCAGGTACGGACCCGACGGTCCCCATATTCTCTCCGGATTCGTCGGGTGCTTAAAGAGTGTGTCAACCTGGCAGGGCCTGCTGGTGCTTCGTCCCCTGCGGCACCGACTCCGGCCCGCGGCCAGACCTAAACTTCAAGCTGCTGACGTTAGTTCGCTTGTGGTGGAGTTCTCGCGCAAATACCCTTCGGAGCTGCTTCGCCCTGAGGTCATGCCAAGCTTGTCTTTCTTGAATGCAGTCAAGGATGCGGTCGATTCTAAGCAACTCTCCTGGATTTCCTGGAGGCTCCGGACGAGTGAGTCGGATGAGCAGGCCCTCACAGAGCGACGCAAGCCGCGCACTGATTCGCAGATGCTACAGTCCCTGCTCGGTCCTGTCTCGGACGAGCTGGTGGTGGATGTTCCGCAGAACCTTCCCCTTGAATCAGTGATTCGTCGGTACCTAGACCGCATGTCTTATGCCTTAGCTGTTCTTGATGCTTGCCACCTGCTGACTCTGAAGAAGCTCTCGGAGAAATTTGTGAGCCTGGCGACAGCAGCCCACACTGGCTGAGGCTATGGATGCTGATCGTGTACTTTGGAGTGCCATCTGCTCCTTGCAGAAAGAATACGGCTGGTCATTGCAAGATTGCGTCTCCGAGCTGACACATGTCCGTTCGGACCTTCACAACGCTTTGGCTCCGCGGCCGAAGATGCCCCAGGGTGGAGGTGAGCATCGCAGCAAACGTGATGAACTTTGTTTTGCCCCAACGTACCCTGTTTTACCCTACCTTAGCGTAGTGCTTTTGAGCGTTTTCCGCATGGCACGAGTACATGTGTGATTCCGTTTGCACGGTTGATCGCGAGGCCCAAAGTGTAGTGGAAAAGTGCATCCGTTTCTTCATGGTAGCGGAGCATTTGACAAGGCAGTGCTCCACACACGTGGGGTTCGGAGTTTTCTTTCGGTTCCGTGTTCAGGGGCCATCGTGCGAGAAAGTCTCTTTTGCTGTTCGGGGCCAGGGTCTAGGGCGAGTCGTAGAGTAGAAGCGAGCCACGGTTTCATGCAATCAGTGCTTGTGAATTCTTGAAGTGTGGAATGATGGCGGCACAGCCTGTGCCCGACGATGACAGTATAGATGAGGAGCTCGGCCCGGCACCTAATCCTTTTGCTGCTTCGCCAACAGGCGGTGGAGAGATAGTTATGAAAGGTGCAGACATTCGTGTTTTGATGCAGAGAATGACTGAAGCCACCCAAGCGGCGAGTTTGGCAGCGCAAGCAGCTTCTTACATGACAACAGCGAATTCCGTGAGACCTTTGAGTTTGGGAGATTTATCCAAAATTATTCCGAAGCCCGAAGCTTTTAAAGCTGTTTCGAGAGATGATGAGCTGGCCGCCTGGCCGTCGTGGGCCTGGGGCGTTGAGCAGTATCTTTCATGCTTGGATTTTTCATTTGGTGCGGAACTTCGAGATTTTGCCAAGCAAGCTGAACCTGTGAACCTGAGTCTGGCAAGCGATGCTACACGCAACAGAGCTAGGCTTTTATATGGCCTGCTCAATGGGCTTTTGAATGAGAAGGGCCGGCGCTTACTTCGAAGCGTCACCGAGCAGAATGGGTTTGAGGCTTGGAGGCTCCTTTCGAAAGATCTTATGCCAAAGACGAGAAACAGACTTTTAGCATTGCTGCGAACTATCAACGGCTGGCCTGCTTTCGATATGCGACAGGGCATTGCGCAACAACTTCTTCGTCTCGAGGCTGCCTTTGAAGAGTATGAACAGCTTGAGCCTGGAGGCCTTCCCGAGAACCACAAGATGGCTGCCCTCCTTAGCTGTCTGACAGGGCAGCTTCGGCAACATGCTAACGTCACCATATCTGATGAGAGCCGCTATGCAGATCTTCGTGCACTTGTGTTGCGTTGGGATGGGGCCCAAACCAAGTGGCAGTCAAGTGTTGCATTGAGCTATGGTTTGCAAGACAGCAACAAGGGTCTGCAGGACACGGGGCCCACACCAATGGAACTTGACAGGGTCGGCCAGAAGGGCGACAAAGGAAAGGACAAAGGAACGGCAAAAGGAAAAGGAGACGAAGGCAAGAGCAAAGGCAAAGGATATGGCAAGCCCGGCGGGAAGTATGACAACGGCAAGGGCAAGCAAGGAAAGCAGCAACAGCAACAACAGAACAACCAGCAGCAACAGCAGAAGGGCAAAGGCAAAGGCGAGTGTTGGAACTGCGGTCGCAAAGGACACGTAGCTCGTGATTGCTGGCAGCCGCGGCGGTCTGTGAATCAAGTGCAGGGTCAAGGCGAGCAGCAGCAGCCACAGCAGCAGCAGAACAACCAGCAACAGCAGCAGCAAGGGCAAAGGACAGTTTCGACAGCACCGCCGTCAGAGTATAGTGCGTTTGGTGGTGTCCAGTCGCAAGCTTCAACTGCTGTGCGCCGTGTGAGTGCCGAGCCTCTTTTGTTCGACATGTCAGACCTGGAGCTCGATTTTACCTCTGGAGTGCGCATGGTTCAGGCGGTTGCGTCAGGAGTGCAGATTTTCAGGATGGACGCCAGAGACGATGATGATACATTGCCGTGGTGCACGGCGCCCGAGAGTGCCGAGAGCTGGCTGTGTGCAGAAGTGCGAGCTTTGAGATCAGTCCCCGAATTTTCGGTGAGCCCTACCACTGTTATTGTAGATTCTGGAGCCGACATTTCATGTTTGCCGACTTCTTTTGCAACCTGCGGGCGCTCGGCCCGGTCGAGCCAACAGATCGCCCTTTATGATGCTCAGGGCGGCGACCTCAAAGTGCATCAGCAAAGGATTGTGGACTTTGCTGTTACGGATCGCTCTGGCAGGGAGGTTACGATTCGAGAGAAGTGCCTTATCACTTCCGTGACCCAGCCTCTTTTGTCGCTTGGGCGGCTGGTGAAGAGAGGTTGGTTTCCGCAGCGGCAGGGCGAAGAGATGCTCCTGGCACACGGGCGCACGGGCTCAGAGCTCAACTTAGGTTTTCAGGGCAACAGCCTGGCACTTGAAGCATGCATTCGCAAAGTTGATTTTCCTGACCTTGATCCTGAGCAAGCTGCAGTTCGTGCTGTGTTGCAAGCCACTTTGAGCGAAGAGCTGCAGGCTGTTGATTATGGTTGGCAGGTCCTGAGAACAGGTCACATTATGTGGCGAGGCCGATCGACCTCCATGATTGACCCGTCTATGATGGCCGGGACCTCGTGGCCTTTCCGTTCCACTCTTACGCAACGCCCCTGGTTTGTGATAGAGCATTGCGAGCGCTGGGACGAGATGGAGGACCTCGAGGAGGAAGTGCCAAGCGGCACAGCGGTTGAGATGATTGTTGTTTTGCACACGGAGCCTGAAGCACTCACTGCGGCAGGCATCGATATATCTGATTTCGTGATTCCTGCTCAGTCCGGAGCCGATCACGATGATGGTGGTGGTATAGGCTCGGAGCCCGAGCACGATGAGGCAATGGAGCCTTTAGAGCAGGACGGTTCAGTTGCGTTGCAAGACAGTGCTGAGCCGGATGTTGTTGAGCAGCGTGCGTTGCCAGATGTGGAAGAAAGAGAGGAGAGAGAGCAGCCGAGTGACACGATTACGGTTCAAGATGTGGTGCTCACTGCACAGAGCAGCATACATGCATTGAAAGCAGCGTGCGAGCACCTCGAGCTCAAGACCTCACAGGTTCGAAAACGAGATTGTTTCAGCGCATTCAAGGTTACCTCGAGAAGCAGAAAATTGCTCTTGAGCAAGACATGGCGACTGACGCGAGAAGTGGCGAGGAACGACGACCCAACATGCAAGCAGTGCCTCGTGCTCCGTCGGAGCAAGAACGATTGCTGCATGAAGTTACACATTTGCCTTTTGCTGCGTGGTGCCCCCATTGCATCAGCATGCGAGCGATGCCAGATAGAAGTGAAGCAGCACAGCAAGAACCGCGTGATGTTCCATCCATTTCCTTCGACTTTTTCTTCACTGGGTATGATAAGGAGAGTGGTGAGATGAAGGCACACGGCAAACCAGCAGAGGGCGAGAGTGGTGAAGAGCTGTTGTGTTGTCTTGTGGCGCATGATAGCAGCACTGGGTCTGTGGTCGCCATTCCATGCCAATCCAAGAGTACAACCAGATTTTTGGGAGTGGAGCTCATGCGTTTTATACATTCACTCGGGCATGCTACAGTAGAACTTCGGTGCGACAACGAGCCGAGCACAACATCACTTCAAACCGCTGTGGCTGGGGCAAGGAAGAGATTGGGGCTGCGAACCATTATTCGAAATCCTGCTATTGAGGCCCACGCCTCGAATGGGGCAGTGGAGAAAGCGGTGGATGTTATCAGGCGACTAGCAAACACAATGATGAGCATGGTTCGGGAGCGGGTCGGCGTGGACTTTGGTGTTGATCATCCTCTTTTCGCCTGGTCCTTTGTTCATGCTGGGTGGACCCGTAATCGATTTGCGGCGGTGGGAGGACTCACTGCTTACGAGCGGGCGACAAATGCTCGCTACAATGGGCGATTGGTTCCTTTTGGCGAGCCGGTGTTTGGACAAATCACGGTGAAGAAGAAAGGGAATCCTAGGTGGGTTCGATGCATTTTCCTCAGCAAAACAACAACCAACGACATGTACATTGTTACCACGAGAGCTGGGGTGAGATTGTGTCGGTCAGTGCGTAGAACAACTTCTTCTTGGATGTTGGACAAGCCGCTGTATCAGGGATTGGCTGGCTTTCCATGGGACTACTCGGCAGGAGCGGTTGGAACGAGGTTGGTCCCACCTGCGCGCGCCCGCAGGCCACAACTTGCGCCAACATTGGCGCCACAAGTGGCGGACGAGGCGACTTCAGATCCGCCGACACCCGTGCCAGGTGATGTGGGTTCCTCTCCTGGGCCTGTGGGCCCAGGGCCGGCACAGCCTTCGAGCGAAGGCGCAGCAGTCAGTGTGCAACCCAGTGTGCCCCCGGATGGTGCGGTATTGGCTGAGAACCCTGTGGTTCCTTTGTCGGCGGGGCCGAATCCGGCCCTTGGGCAGATCGATGTCGAGATGCTTCGTACTCCTGAGGCGATGCTGCCGCCACTGGGTGATACGGCCCAGGGTTCGGCGGGGAGTCGTGATGGACCTCCGGAGGCAGGTGGTGATCGGAAGCGCATTCGTATCAGAGCAGTGCAGTTTGGCAGCTACAACCTTGATTATCATGATGAAGATGTGAGCCTTGATTATCCTGAGCTTGAGTGTGGTGAGCTTTGTGAACAAGTCGAAGCAGAGATCGAGAGTGAAGTCGCAACGGCAGGTGAGGACGTTGTGAGTGAGGGCACCGCGGCTCCGAACGTACAGGGCCCTCTGAGTGATTATGAGCAGCTACAGGAGCTGTTGTGGTACCCGGATGACGGGACCGGGCCGCCGAAGCTTAGTGATTTTGAGCTTGGTAAGATTGACAGCGTAGCCGATGAGGTTGAGATTTCAAGGTTGTCGCAGAAGCAAGTGATTCGGCCGGTCCGCGGCGATGAAGAGACCCAGGGCATGAAACGATTGAGCACCAAAATGGTGCGCAGTTGGCGTAGCAAACGCAAAGGTGGCAAGGCAATGTGGTTGAGAAGATCAAGGTTGGTAGCTCGGGAATATAGGTGGCTCGAGGCCACGCGTGAAGGTCTCTTTTCGCCATCCACTTCGAATTCGGTGGTGCGACTGATCCCTCTTTTGTTTCTCATGTGGCGCATGACGCGCCCTGGCACCGTCTTTGCGCTGGCTGCCATCGACATTAAGGATGCTTATTTAGAGGTGCCGCAGGTGGAACCGGTGTTAGCAGATTTACCTCGGGATTATTCCGGTAGTGGTCGGTACATATTCCTGCGTTGTATCCCTGGTCAGCGGGACGGTGCACAGCGCTGGTTTGACTTTTATGTCAACTTCCTTCATGAAGGTCTTACCCTGGAGACGTGTACGGTGAGTCCAGCCGTGATGAAAACTAAGGAAGGGCCTTTGATGCTACACGTGGATGATAATTTGGTTCTGTGTCCTTGGTCCTTTGACATGGTTGCATGATACTCTGGTACCGCTGATAAAATCACGATTCCAGGCTACAGTGGAGATTGCGTACCGCGTCGGTGATCAAATCAGCTTCCTCAAACGAGTGCACACGCTGACTGAGACCGGCATGAAGATTGCGATCAGTGATCAGTATGCGAGAAGCATGGCAAAGATCCTTGAAATTCGTGGTGGAACGGCTCAAACCCCAGACCTTGCAGAGTTCAGTGGGCATGACACGTCACAGGTGTTGTCCGAGCAGCAAGCATCCAAGTACAGATCAGTGATCGGGATTGCGCTTTATATTTCGGCCGACAGGCCAGACATTGCACACAGCGTCAGAAAGCTCTCTGCTGTGATGACACGTCCGACTGCTTTGGCATGGCGTGCTGCAATTCGATTGACCCAGTATATGCTGGCCACATCCTCATATGCATTGCATCTTGAACCCGGGGAGCCTGGGACCTCTATGTTGCATGGATGTGTTAGCGCAGGCAGTGATCTGGTGGAGTGCTTCACGGATGCCGATTGGAGCGGCAGCAAGGCCGATCGCAAGTCAATCGGATCAGCCACCCATTGCATCAATGGTGCGGTGGTTTACTTTGCCACGAGGACTCAGCGATCAGTGTCCCTCTCTTCGATGGAAAGCGAGTGGTATGCCTGTGTGTCCGGATGCTGCGATGCATTATTCATTCGAGAAGTCTGGGAGTTCATCTCAGGCCAATCTGCAGTGATGCACGTGTTGCTTGATAATCAATCTGCTAGGGCATTGGCTAAGCACCAAGGTGCGGCAAAGCAGGCGAAGCACATTGCGGGGAGATTGTTATGGATACAGGGTTATGTGAAGCGTCAGGTCTTCAAGGTGATGCCGGTGAGCTCGGCATACAACCTTGGTGACATAGGGACCAAGGCTTTGGCAAAGGCCAGGTTGCGGTCACTGATGTACATGCACAACTTCATTGATGCTTCAAGTGATGAGCGAATCGGAAAGTTCGAATATGAGCAGATGCAACAACAAGAATATGTGAAGGCACAGATTAAGAGAGTGAAGAAGAGCGTGAATACTTCCACAAAGCTTCATTCGAACATCTTCATGGTCATGTGCAACTTGATGCCGCTGTTGACTGATGCGACAAAGCTTTCTTCCCCTACGGTGAGTGGTGGATATGCGAGCTACATGTTTCCACTTTGCATGGTTCTTTTGGTGGCGCTTTTCGCTGCACGGGCCTTGGGCCTGAACGACTTTTCGACTTTGCGCTTGAGCATTGATTTTCAGTATGCACCGCAAGCTTTGGATGTGAATGGCTATGTTATGCAATGCTTTGCATTTGCCTTTATGCTTATCGGCTTCATGCAGGGCGTGAGTGCTGAGCAGTACGCGAGCTTGGCATTGATGATCACGTGCGGTGCTCTGTGGAATGAGAACAGAAAGCTGAGAGCCCAATGCGTTGTGGTCCATTCGAGGCCACATGAGGGTCCTTTAGTGGCCCATGGAGGTAGAGTTCTGGAAAACCCAGCGGCCTTAGTTGTACAGGTGCCGGAAGAAGTGTTCGTAACGACACGTGGAGTTTGCTTTCACAAGGGTACCTGTGGCCACGTACGTGGTAAAGCACCTAGGAGTGTGCGTCGTTGTTTGGATTGTTTTGGCTAGCGTACAAGCAGTCCTGTTGGCCACAAAAGTTCAAGCGATTGACCAATGTCGGAGTACATGGTCTATCGGGCGGGGTGATGAACTTTGTTTTGCCCCAACGTACCCTGTTTTACCCTACCTTAGCGTAGTGCTTTTGAACGTTTTCCGCATGGCACGAGTACATGTGTGATTCCGTTTGCACGGTTGATCGCGAGGCCCAAAGTGTAGTGGAAAAGTGCATCCGTTTCTTCAAAACGCCAGCGCACTGAGCCGCCGCCCGCGCCCCATCCGAATCCTCGAGCCAAAGCAAAGGGCAAGGCCAAGGCACTGTTCTGGGCCACCACGGATTGATGCCAGTCGTTGTGTGCGGCACGGGGGTGGTCCACCCGGCCTAAGTTTGAGAACGCTGAATTCTCCACAGTCTCCACAGGGCGGAGAAGCAATGGCCGCTCCCACCACGCCGCTAGAACAGAGCGCTAGAAGTCTAGCAAAAAAGGCATCGTCCAGCAGATCCAAATCCTGGCAATGAATGATGTCAACCGGTTGGAAGCAGTCTTTGCCCAAGGCTTGCATAGCCGCACTCACAGGAGCCCCAGCCCCAGAGCAAATATCCAGGAAGAAGCGCCCCGAGCTGCTTTCACACGCAAAGTCCGAATCGGGGAGAGGGGGCAGTTCCGGGCAAATCCCTGGCCTAAGCGGGTTGCCGGCGCCGACCACACTGATGGAATTGGTCGATGGTAGCAACGCCCGCTGTTCCTCAGTCAGAGCAAGAGCGCGTGGAGCAATGGGCAAGGCCGCCTGCACAACCGAAGGGGAAGGAGGTCTAAACCCTAGGGAAAGGAGGCAGGCGGAAGTTTCAGCGGTGAGCGACTCGCAAGCTCGCAGTGTGTAACCCACTAAAACCAAACGGCGACCCTCAAAGGGCAGAACTTCATGCAAGCAAGATGATGCAGTGAAGACCACTGGGCCACGACACACCGGCAGGGAGACAGCCGGATACCTGGAGCCGTCATGCTCCATCACATCAGCCCCGGAGTGGTGCGCAACCCGCAGCTCACCACCGGAGAAACACGAAATGGGAATGACCACATTTGGCAGGTCCGAGTTGGCTGTGTCACAGTGTGCCTCAGAGGCAATGCCGTCGATCAAGACGAAAGAAGAGTGGAAAAATCCTGGTGCCATAGAAGAAATAAGCGAATTCAGAACTTGCGCAGACAAAGGGTGAGATCCTCACACCTTGCGCAGGCCGACCTTGACTCGATGGTATAAACCTGCCGAGACCGAAGCCCCGCTAGAAAACCGATCATCAAGGTCTGGTGCTTCTTGCAGCAAAAGATCAGCGAGCCTCTCAACGCTGTTGCACGACAAGTCCACTGATTTGGACAAAATTGAGTTTGCGAAGGACTCAGCGTCCGACTGAGGGGTCTCATAGACCGCAGGAGCAAAATCAGGCGGGGGATCAAGGTGCATGCCATCCTCCACCGCTGCCCGTCAATGGGGGGCAGCATTATGCGCGGAGGCGGAGTGGGCGGCCCCACAGGGCTTCCCATCAGCCCCGAGGATCGGGCACTTGTGACTGAAACGGCATGATTTGTTTCTGCACTTATCCGTGTGATATCGGATACAAGCGCCGACCCCGCCGATTTGGCGGGCCCAATTGCTCGGCCAGTTGCTGATAGAGATGCGGTCCTTGGAGGAGTTAGCGTCCGCACTCTTACGTGGCTTACTTCATGATCGATGTCGGGAGCTTCTCTCGAGTGTGGCGGCTCTCGGAGGCTGCATCGATTTTGAGCAGCCTCCTTCATCCATGACTTTTTTGACGGAGACCATGCAGCAGTGGGTGGCCAGCACCCTCTCTTTTGGTGCCCAGGTTGCTGCGTGTCATCACGGTATGGATGTGTGCAAACGCTGGCTTTTCCTGTCCAACCGACCGGAGATACTCGACCTTGCATCTGAGTGCCACCATGGAGCCAGTGCGCACAAAGCTGTGTGGGGGATTCGTGCTGATGACGGCAGTTTCCTGAGTCGTGTGACGGCTGCGTATCCAAAATCTCTGGCTAAAGCTTTGGCCGCTGTCTTGGGACGATATACATCCTCTCAGGGCCGTCTGCTTCCCTGCGCAGAGTGGCGCTCTGTCCTGCCCGTAGATCCAGTATGGCCTCAATTGGGTCGTCGCATCTAGGACGGTGCAGGTGTTAATAGTACCGCGTGCTGGATTACACCCCAAGCCGATGACCACCTTGTGGGCCTTCGCAAGAAGTGGACGCAGCGTCTGGTATAGACAGTCGTCTCTGCCTCCGCATTTGTTCCACACTGCAGGCTTGTACCTATAGGCCACCGATCAGTGCCGAGGAGCTTCAGCCTTTTCTCAATGACCTGTGTGGCTTTTGCGCTGTTCCCGACAATGAGGTCGAGAATTTCCTTTCCATTCAACCGGGACAGCCATTCCGCTTGAATGTCCTTGAGAAGCTGCTGGCGATTACTAAGGACCCTGAATCGGATCTCTGCCAGCATCTCCGGAAAGGCGTGCGGATTGGCGTGGACCACGAACTGCAACCCTCGCCTCACTGGCCGCTTCGCACTGTGGAACCGATTGTTTCGGATCTCGTGATTTGCGAAGGCTCTTGGAAAAGTGCATCCGACCACCCAGAGCAGGTCCGGGAGCTCCTGGCTCAGGAAATCGCGGAGGGTTGGATCGTGGAAAGACCTTCGGTTCAATACCTGCATGATCACTTCCCCGCGGTGGCCATTGGCAAACTGGGACTGGTGCTGGCTGAGGGTAGGGTGTTACGGCCGCCTGTCAGATTCCAAACCACATGCTGCTACCACGTATTTCGGATGTTGAGGATTGCGCCCCTTCCTGCCTGGGCCGCCATCCGTGGATCACCGTATCTCTGGATGTGCGAAAGGCACACCGCATGGTCATGGTGGAGCACTGTGACCAGGCTCTGCTGGCGTTCACCTTCGAAGGACGAGTTTTCACGTCCAGCACTCTTAATTTCGGAGCCAGAGCATCAGCTTTTTGGTGGGCCAGAGTTGGGGGAGCCTTGCTTCGCTTGTCACACGCGGCGATTTGGCTTTCGCACCTTCTTTGGGGCTACGTCGACGACTTCTTGGGAGGTTTCCGAGGCGATGTGGCTCCGATCTCTGCCTCCATTTGGATTCTCTTGCTCCTTGCCCTGGGAGTGCCGCTTTCTTGGTCGAAATGTGTCTGGTCGCCGGAGTGCATTTGGATCGGATGGTCAATCAACCTTGAAAGCTGGGTCTGTGAGCTGCCGCATGCGAAAATTTCCAAGATTCTTGACCAAATCACGGATTTGCTTGCCGCTGGTGACAAGGTGAAGTTCAAAACCTTGGAATCACTCATTGGACGCCTACTGTGGGTCACAGGTTTGTGGACAGTGCTCAGGCCTTTGCTGTCTCCGTTGTATGGCGCTTGCCCGCTTCCTCGGTTGGCGTCAGCCCTGAGCTATGGGCTGCGATCAAGCGCAACATTGCGGAGGATTGCGTGCTGACTCGTTCTGTTGGGCACCCGTCCTTCCACAAAGGCGCTTGCATTACCCGCGCTGCCAATACATTCGTCTCATCCAAGCAGGATCTTGATAAGGTTCCGTTCAGGAAGCGCCGATTGTGGGTGGAAGTGAAGGATCCCGGGCACCCGCTGCGAGTCCTCGGGGATGCTGGCAGGTCAAGCTTAATTGCATGGCGTGCCATTTTCCAGGGCACCCCTTTCATGAAGGCGCTTCGTAGTCCGATCCCGCTGAAGGTCATTGCTGAGGCTGATGCCTTTGCCGAGGCGGAGGTGTCTGGTTTAGGAGGCTACGCTATGTGGCCCAGTGGTCGCACAGTCTGGTTCTCTATCAGAAAAGACAGTCAGGAGTGGGCTGCTCTCACTTCGTTGTTCCCTCCGCCCCTCCAGGCGCATATTTCGGCGATGGAACTGTTGGCTCAATTACTGTTGCTTTGGTGCATTTTCGCCACTCTGCCATCCAATCGCGGGATTTGTCGGGCCTGCCTTCGGTCGGACAACTCCGGTGCGGAGGCCTGTGCGTCCAAAGGGCTGTCCTCGGTGCTGTCCATGAGCGAGATTGTCAAGAAGTTCCTTGCGTTTCAGGCGTGGGCTGGAGTCCAGGCGGAGGTCGAGCATGTGCCTGGGTATCGCGACGAACTTGCAGATGCGTTGAGCAGGCTTACGGCTGCCGATGTTGCACCTCTGCCGCTGGGTGATCGTGTGCACCCGCCACTGCAATGGCTTCTCGAGCAGCGGCTCGTGCTGGAACCTGCTTCGGCCTCGTGGCCGCCTCCTTTCAAGAGTTGGCTGAGTAGCTCCTGAGTGCTGACTTTTCGTTATCACTTCCACTTGTTTTTAGGCTTGCTCGCCGGGCTGTGAAAACACGTCGCCAGATGCCGCCCTGTTTTTATGAAGCCTTGTTGCAGAGCTGCTCTATTGCCATGCCGTGCACGTGTGGGAGAAGTGCGGCCGGGTGATCTTCAGCACGCATGCTGACGTCGATCATGCGTGTCGCCCCGGCCGTGATGAATGTTGCCGGATTCTTCTTTGCACTCTGATGCGGACTTCGAGCTCCGGCTTGACGGCGTCCGCTTCAATATCTGTGAAGTTCTGACTGCTGCCGGCCTCGCTTGCCTTCCGCAGTCTTTTGCTTACAGTAGCTCGGGTCTCCTCGCTTGGCACCAACATGTCGGGCCACTCTGTGGATTCTTCATGTATGTCCGGCGCTGATCAGGAGTCGTCTCCCTATTCGGGGCCGGTTCTACGGGAGGCTGATCTTGGAGCGTTGGGGGCCTGTCCCCCGCCTTGCCTCCAATGCGATCTCCTTCGTGCGGAGGTGCTGATGCTACGTGCTGAAGTTGCGAGCTTGCGCAATTCCAGCTTGGCGGCCCTCTGGGATGCGATCTATGCACTGCAGGGCCAGCTCAACGAACTTCGCCCACGTGGGGAGGATGATCATTTTTCCTTTGTGTTCACGGCGGTCGAGGAGAACACAGCGGCTCGCTTGCTGCGCTCGCCCCTGGCGAATGTTAGATGCCTCCGCTATCATGAGCAGAGGCTTGATGCACTTGTGAACCTCAATGCTGACATCGAACGCCGACTTCGGTTGCTGGACTTGGCATTGTCTCGGGCCTCAGGCTAGATCTGACGCCAGGTTGTGCATCCGAGTGAAAACCAGCGAATGTGTTCTGCACTTCCTGACATGTTTCTCGCTTTTTTCTTCGGGTCTTTTCCCCTGTCCGGGTCGCGAAACGAGTTTTACTTGGCTTTCGACCCTTTTAAACCCTTCCCTCTGACCAGTGCATTTCCCCTTTCCCTTTGGAGCTCGGTCTCCACGGTGGGACGGGGTTTGAACGTTCGCTGCATTGGCTGGGGGTTTCGTCGGGTTGGTCGATCGTTGACTCGGCATTTCCTTTTCGAGAAAACATGTCGGTTTGGTGCGTGCGCATTTCTCTATCTTTCGGAGTGGAATTATATTTCGATTCCGTCTGTTTCCATTTTGGAATATCTTTCGGATATACTTATATCTCTATATCTTTTGACTGGGAACTTGAACGTATACGGACTAAGAGGGCTTCAAACGATTTTCGTTTTTGAAACGATTTGGTTTGCTAGCCCTCAAAGCCCGGAAGGCAAGTTTTTGATTTTCAACACATGCCTTTTTCCTTTGCGCATGCTTGGACGTGGCTGTGTTGAATTTCGCTTTCCGTTTGCCTTTTTTGGTTCAAGTTCCGTTTCCTGGTCAAATTTTTCACCCACCACCATCCCCTTGCACCCGCCATGGGGGGGTTGTTACGGTACGGCTTTCGACCCTATTAAACCCTTCCCTCTGACCAGTGCGTTTCCCCTTTCCCTTTGGAGCTCGGTCTCCACGGTGGGACGGGGTTTGAACGTTTGCTGCGTTGGCTGGGGGTTTCGTCGGGTTGGTCGATCGTTGACTCGGCATTTCCCTTTCGAGAAAACATGTCGGTTTGGTGCGTGCGCATTTCTCTATCTTTCGGAATGGAATTATATTTCGATTCCGTCTGTTTCCATTTTGGAATATCTTTCGGATATACTTATATCTCTATATCTTTTGACTGGGAACTTGAACGTATACGGACTAAGAGGGCTTCAAACCTCTCAGGAGGAGGCACCAGTGGAGGTCCGAACAATGGATGCAACTTCAAGGTTGACGTTCGTACTGGTGTTCCTGACCTTTCCATGTATCTCAAGAGCGCGTCCTGGGTGCCACGTCGTGTACTCCGATCAGTTGGAGATGGCGGCGTGGTTACCTACCCAACAAGGGGTTCTCGAGCCTTTCCTCGTGATGCACCGGTGGCCTCCCTCAAGATCATTCCGGAATCTGTTCCACGTTTCTTCGGGCAACAGGACACCACGGCGTACTTCCGTCAGGGGGAGATGGCCGCGGTGGACATTCTGCAAGGACAGCTGGCGTTTTTGTCTCATAGTCCGGGACTATGAGGAGAGCCACCTTGGAACCCATGTACTGCAGAGGTATCTCGTATGGAAGTACGAGCTGTTTCCTGGGCTGCCTGGACTCTTCGGAGTTGGGCGTGCTGGACAGGGAGATCTTCGAGGTCTCCAGGCTGAGGCACGACCATGGCAGCTGGGCCGTAAAGTCGTCCAAGCAACTCTCGAAGCTGACTCGGCACGACGAAAGGGTCACACCGGGGAAGTACATGGAGATGTATTTTGGAGACGATGATGAAGCACCCTCTCAGGCCTTTTGAGTGGTCGCCCAAGAAGTTCTTCTGCTTCTTGGCGGCGAACTCGAAGGGCCGCTTCAACATCTGGGTGGCCCCTGTGGCTCTCCAGTATGGGCGCTTCTTCGATTTCGACTTCTACATCGGGGTCTCCGCCGTCCAGGGTCACTCTCGGGTTCCAGAGCAGGTGTCGGATGTCGCCCTCGGGGAGAAGCTCACCAAGGAGCGATGCCACCAGCTCGGCATGATCTTTCATGCCTCGGATAACTCCAACTACGACTACGAGAGTATCCGTGAAAAGGGCTTGCTGCTGGAGGCAAAGAAGGCGGCGTGGCAGCGGCACAGGAGAGCCATCCACTTCGTTGACGCGGGTGGAGAGGTTTCTCCGGGGCCTGGGACCGTCATTAAGTACGGCTCCTACGTCTTCTACGCCGAGCTCGACTTTGAGAGCTTCCTGAACCACGGCCGCGATCTGTATCTTACAGACAACGGCGTGGTGCTCTCATACCAGGACGTGGCGCCAGTGTATTTGTCGTACCACTATCGTCCGCCCCACGAGCAGGATCCGGGTGGCCTTCGCCACGAAAGGAAGCAGCAAAGCGCAGGGGTAGGCTCTTCTCATGAAGAGGGAACCTCGGCGTCTGCTTCCGCTACCGGAGGCTCTCCTCATGGAGAGGGACCGGGAAGCAGTACGGATCCAAGGCCTTCTAAGCCAGCTCCCAAGAAAAGGCCAAAGACATCTCAGGATGCCGGCCAAGCGTCACAGGGAAGTCTCCTCAGGGAGAGGTACCCACTTTGGACGCAGCAGCTCTCCACAAGCTTATTCGTGATAATGAGCTTAAGGAAGAGCGGGAGCGGCAAGCCACAGCCTCCGAAGGGGACACCAAGTATGCGTACCAGTCTGGGGACACCGTCCACGGCAAGATTGATGCGCACAAGTCCCAGCAGCAGGAGGAGCTCAACGAGGTTCTCCGCAAGGCAAGGACCAATCCTTGGCATCGTTTTGCTCATGGTCTCTTGCGCATGGTGAACGCTTCTGGCCAGCGGATGCTCAGCACCTATGGCGATGCCCTCGTTCAGGTCAGCCCCTGGCATGCTTTGACTCCATCTATGAGGGAGTCCTTAGGTGGTGAGTATACTTGGGCATCCTGGCTTCAGCATCCTTTGTCGGGGTATTCCTTGCGCTTTTTCTTGAAAGCCTTTGAGATAGGGAAGTTGCAAGGGAATTACCTCGTCGAGCTGGACAAGAAACCGAAGGTTTACTCCAACGGTTACACTTCACCATGGATGAACATGAAGCGTCACCCAGGAGGCCTCGCATCTATGTTGAAGCAAGTCACCATTGCGGCGGAGAACGAGTTCCGACCTTCTGTCGGGAACATTGGTTTCGATCGCCCTCGTGACGATGATCCTCGCTCAAGAATGCCCAAGACGGAGGATCCTGATTACTCTCGCAAGCTCGAGGCGCACAATGCCTTCCTCAGGGAAAGGGATGTGTACTCCGAGATCTTCAAGGTGCGAGAGGATTTTCAGATGCTCGTCCGCGTCGTCAATGAGGCCTATGGTGTGGACTTCTTCTCCTACATCCAGCGCCATGCACATGATGTGGAGGTTCGCCGAAAGTACTTGGTGCGAACTCCTGAGGGTTACGGTCTGTATGACTCTACTCTCAAGCAACCCTTCAATGGTCGCTATGTGCTGGCAGCTTTGGATAAGGTTTTCTCTACAGCTGACAACAAGGACTTTAAGTCAGCCTTCGCCCGCAGGGAGAGAGCAGATTTGTTGGCCTACGAGAACCTGCGTGAGAAGAAGGAGGCAGAGTTGAATGAACTCTACACGCGACCCTATGAAGACCTTATGGTTGAAGAGTTCATCGAACGGCTTCCTGGTCCACAGGTCGAAGAGATTGAGGAGCCTGCCGCGGCAACTCAGATGGACACCTCCGAGCCGGCTACAGGATCCACCGATTTGCCACAGGGCAAGAAAGACGATCCAGTGAAGACCGAGCCGACCGATGTGCCGATGGAGACTGATGCTCCAGAAAGCTCTCCTCAGGGAGAGGCATCTGGGGCGAATGTCGAGCCAATGGAGACCGAAGCTCCGGAAGGCTCTCCTCAGGGAGAGGGATCTGGGGTCAAGGCCGAACCTGATGAGCGCATGGGTCAAGACGGAGGGAAGTCCGAGGACAGTGAGATGGCTGAGGAAAGCTCACCACAGGGTGAGGAATCCATGCCTGACATTTCTCCCGAGAAGGATGATGAAAGTGAACTTCACGATCAAGGCATCTGGGGGAAGTGCAAGACTGTTCCGGATCCTGAGTACTATAAGGCCGCGAAGGATGCAGAGGAGAAGAACGAGAACGCGTTCGAAGAGATGGGCAAGGCCAAAGAGAAAATTGAGCTCGCCGACACCGACGAGTACAAACATCGAACGGGAAAGCCCTATGCGGTTGCTTTCAAAGCAGGGGCGTGGATATGGCTATTCCGGCTTGTATCATACAGGCCTGCGTGACCCTACGTGGGAGCCTGTTCTCGCATTCAAGGTGCAGCATATGAGCTGGAGGGTCAATGTTCCAACTCACAAGGGACAGAAATACTCTCTTAGCGCAGGAGACCTCTTCGCTCAAGTCAACAAGATGTCTCCGATCTATGAGCGGCGTCCCGACAGGAACGACGTTGTCTTTCGTTCTGGAGACGTCCGCAGCACCTTGGATGACAAGCTGATGGAGAAGGCCTCTGACATTCGTGAAGCAGCTCTGGAGGTTTTGGAAGCACTTCTTGATAAGGTGAAGTCCCTTAAGGCGAGCGGCAATCCGGCAACTCGAGAAGAACTTTTGAACGCTATGCTTCATTACTTCTTGAGCACCGGAGTCGATGAAGAGGAGATCAGGGACCTCTCTCTTGAGAGGATGCCGAGTCCTTACATGCATCGTTTTGGTCTAGCGGAGGACGCCAAGGTCCCCCTCTTCACAAGCAAGACCAAGTTCGCCGCGCTCATTGTCAATCTCGGCAACATGGGCAGGGGAAGGAAGCGCACTGCTCCTACCTCCGTTGCCAGTCACATTGACTGGGATGCCACCTCGCCATCCAAAGGAGCCTTGATCAAGTCGATCGCTCAGAGCAAATCACACCTCTTCATGTTGTGTGAAGCGGCTGAGATCGACGACTCTGAGAAAGCGTTCCTCACAGCTCGTGGGTGGCAATTCCTGCATAACGAGTCCAAGGACTTGATGGTCGGGAGTCGTACCAACAATGTCGGGTCCTCGATCACCCGTTTGGCAGGCTCAACTCTCACTGGGCTTGCTCACAATTCTCTCCCGATCACTTGCATGATTGTGGAGATTGTGTACGGGATGACAGTACCGGCAGGGACTCAGGGAAATCGTGGCGACTTCCCAGATGATGCACTGACCAGGGTCCTGGAGCGTGCCGGCTCC